GGAATGCAAGTGCTCTGCAAGGCTGGATGCCTTATGGCTGACTTTGGGTTCGGATTTTCAGATTGGCTGGAAAACAAGCCAGGCACCCAGAATCCTTTTTTTTTTTTTTTTTTTTTTTGAGAGGGTTTTTTTTTTTTTTCTATACAGTGCGGGCACTCGCCAGAAAGGCAGAAAGAGACAGAGAGACAAAGAGGGAGAAATCACCCCTCAGAGGGGATTGCCATACCACAATCCCTTCTCCTCCATTCCCCTCTCAGGATCCCAGGTATGCACGCACACGCACCGGCGTGAGTTTAAGCCACTGGGTCTGGGACTCAAACCGCTGTCAACTACATGGAAGTCCAGTGACGTAGCCATTACGCCATCTGTTGGTCCCAAGGCACCCAAAATCTTGAAGAGCTGGAGGACTAGGGAAAATCATAACATGGCAAGACCCTGTCAGGGGTGCTTTGGTCTCTTCTCTCCTCTTTCTTTCTCTCTATCTCACATGCATCCATGAGCTACCATTAAAACACAAAATTATAGCAGATTAGTTATTAAGAAGTGTCTTTTGGGTGCCAGCAGGTGATGTGGTGGTAAAGGCACTGAACTCCCAAATGGCAGACCATGATTCAAGTCCCAGAACTGGTGGCTTGCTTTGTCACTTTCTCTCTTTTTCTCTGGGGAGCATATGTGACCTATAGAAAATTCTTAAATAATAATGAATAAATAAAATAATTCTTTTTTAAAAAAAGGTGTCTTTTAAGAGGCAAAACCAAATGCCTGCGGCATCAGGAAAATCATGGCTAGAAAATGGCCACACTCAGTAGGCCTAGCTTGCTCAGAAATGCCCCAGAGCCCTTGTACTTCTCGTAGGAGCCAAGTCCTCACCCTCCAGTGCAGGGGAGGAATGAGCTCCCCTGTTTGGTAGTTGGAGGACTCTGGTTCCCAGCTCCATGACCTGGTCTTTCATCACTCGAGCTTTGCTTTCCCCAATTAGAGTATAGCAAAGGAAATTCCTGGGCTAAATTAATTGATTGATCAATTGACACAACGTTTGTGAAATTACGTTAGGAAATGTGTGCTATTTTTTATTAGTGTTACTATTAACCTGACCTACTGTTCCCTAGCCAACACTTGTATAAAGTTTAAATTCTCCAAAAGGTCCCCAAGTTAAATCAGAGGTGATGAAATTCCCTTCAGAAATTGCATTAGCAACACCTTTAATTTCTGGAATGTGGATCTTCATAGAGCAGGGAAGGGATGTGATCTCATTCTAGTGGGCAGCGAGGCCTCCGGACAGGTAATGGCCAACAGGCCTGGGCTGTAAAAGCTTCCTAATACTTCTGGACAGCCAGTGTTGGCTGGCATCCTGGCTATTGCTTCATACTCTACAGTAGTGGGCTGTGCCAACCATTCCTTTCTCTGAAGGGTTTTAGCAAGGCCAGGCCTCCCAAGTGAGGTTTATCAACCCCAGAGAGACAAGTGTGGTCTAGTGATTTGAGTCAGCAAGCAGGGTAGCCAAGAAGCTCATGTTCTTCCCTGGCATGCAGTCATTTTCTTCCTCCAGAGTCATTGTGCAAGTCATTTAAGAAAATCTCACTCTCTTTCACACACACTTTGTCTCCATCAGCTCCCCACACACGTCTATCAGGAGATCACTCCACCCTCAAAGACGGAAGAGAGGATGGTTACACCGGGCGGTTTCCTCGGGCTTATTCAGAATGAGAAGCTGTGTGGGCACCAGTTATAATTAGCAACTTATAGTTGCTGACCCCAAAGGTCAGAAATGTCAGCTGGATCCCAGAATCCTCTGTAGCCCAAAGCCAAGGAATGTCTTGTGAACCACAGAGGAAAATATTTGAAAGCTCAGATTGTTTAGAGTAAACATTAGACACGTTTCCTCTGAACTCAAAGCGGGGACTTCAGGCATCTTTCCTTCTTCTTAAACTTTTATCCTAATCCAGTCGGTCATTCTTTATTGCCTTGGAATCAAAAGCAGAGTCAAAGCTTGGAAGGGGACAATGAAACCATGCCCGTGGACTATCAATAGTAAAACTGAGTATTGTTTAAAAGACTAGGCCCTCAGAGCAAAATGTTCACAAGTTTGGAGACTATTTTGGATCAGCCCAAAGGCTTGACTTTTCCAAGAGAGAATCTCCCCATCAGCCCTCAATTTTTCCTGAGGGATTAGGTCTGAGTGTGTTAGGTCATTGCGATATAGCCATTCTAGAAAGAATCCAGTTGTTTCCTAAAGCTTCAAAAAAAAATCTAATCTCCTTTAGAACAGATAACTGTTGTTCCTTCTGCCATACTTTTGTTTTCTGCCTGTGAAACTGATGAGGAGGTGAGGACGAGTAGAGAACAGATATTTCGTGTGATTAATAAAATCCCCAAAGTATCAGGTCAAGCCACCCATCTAAGCGTATTTAGCAAATTACTACCAGGCTTTCGTGTATATCTGGTTCCTATTGTAATAACAATGGTCCTTTACATACTAAGGGGGTCTTCAAAGAGATCATGGGAAATGCATATTATGAGGAAATTGCATGGATTTCAAGGTTTTTTGCACCAACATAAAGTCATATTTTGATTCCATATTTACATAGGCTTTTTAAAGTCCTCATATATTATTAATTTTGTTCTTGTCACAACTCTGGGAGGTGGATTTTAAGATTCCCATTTTAGAAACAGGAATCTGAAGATCACAGAAGTTAATAATCAAAGCCCAACAGTGATTATTTGGGAAAAGTCACGTCCTCCTGACTTCAGAGCCTGGACCTTGAACCACTATACAAGTTGGTCTCAGTCTTCATGAGTTATTAAAATTTAGTAACTGGTTACGCTGGGCTTCTTGTTATGAAAACATGGGCCTTGGTAAAGAGTCACGCAGAAAGAAAGGAAGTAAGGAATTGTGCTTGCTATGCTTGCTTGGAGGGGAAAGCTCAACCAGAGGGGTGCTATTGATGTGCCATGTCAAAATGAAATAAAAGGCTTTTCCTGCTTTCTGCTGCAAGCCAAAAATCCTGCATGGGCCTGGCAGCCAGGATTATTTTTTTTGAACAAAGAAGCCCTAACCAGAGGAAGTCAGTCTGGTCCTGAGTGCAAGAAAAAAAGTTAAGGTTGGAATGGAGACGTTAAGTGAGGAAGCGCCAATGGGATGGAGAGGATGGGAAGGAAGACGGGCCACACCTGCTGGACAAAACAAGCAAAAAGTC